TGGCCCCGCGGCACGGCGCGGAGCGCGGGGGCTGCCCCTTGGGGACAGGGTTTTGCAGCCGCTCCCGCCCGAAAGCGCGTCCTCCCCCCGAGGGAGCGTACAAATACAGCTTCCCTATCTCTGTACATTCCTATACCTATGAATATAGCTTCCTCGGTATAGGAAATACAACTGAGGGCCAATGAAAAGTAGCCACTTTCGTACCTGTTAAGATGATGAATATTCCATCTACACACATATATATGTTTTTGCATGTATTTTTGCATGCAGGCATTTGAGTTCCTCAGCAGTAACGTTATTAGGCTATTGTCCAAAACCATCACTTGAGGGCTCCTGCAGCAGCAGCCCCGCCTGCGGCACCCCCGGTAAGCGCCGCTCTGCCCCTGCCTTGCTGTGCGCTCCCAGCTCAGGCTCCCCAGAGCTTTTTCAGCAAGGAGAGCACACGGAAACGGAGGAAGCAAAATCTGTGATAGGAACAGCTCTTGTCCCCCTTACCACGGCTGCACTGCAAGGTCAGCTGCACAACTTGCTGTTTTCTCCTTTTTCTTGCCAAGACAAAGTCACACCCAAAGCAAACAAAAACTGTGTGGACATATATATACATACACACAGACACTATTTCCTCACAATAGCCTATATATATTTATATGTCACTTAACAATCAACAACTCTTCTAACACCAGAGAAGAAATGTTTCTAACCTATTTTATACACATTGATTTAAATAGAAGTATTATCTTGTCTGGAAATGCAAACAAAGCTGAAGGGCCTAGGGTCCAGTACTAGCCAATAGTATGTTTGTGAGCTGCTGGGCAAAAAAATGCTTGTGACACTTATGCTACATAGTTTGTTTGAGTTGAAAACAAACTCCGGTAAAGTCAGCTGAGGGGCTTCTGCTTTCATTAGTGCAATAACTTCTGGTTTAGGAACAGTGAGTTGAGTTGGGAAGAAATAGCTCCACCTTGTGTACCAACACATAACTGAGTATTGCTGTTACTGCAGCATTTAACACCCCAGATTACAGTGTAATAACCACGTGTAGCTTCTGCAAATAAGCAAATAGAATAAGATGTTAATTCATTAGTTCATACATTTGCAAAGCCTGTTTGGAAACCTATTTCTGCAGAAAACCAAAATGGACTAAAACAAGTAGGCACAGTAATGAAGACCATGTTTGTTACTTAGTGATTTACTTCCTAATGTTCCAGAACATGTTTTTGTCCAGAAGCAAATGCATGTTAATAAAATAAAAACACACCATTAAAAATAACTTGTTAAAGGAAACTTAACATCATAACCCAGAAGCAATCTATTCAGCACAAAAAGTGTGTTTTCTCAGCTCTGGTGGAAGAAAGCTTCAAGATCCTCTTTCCATTTTTCTATTCCTGTGCTTAGGCCCTTCTTTGTATTGGATCTCCTTTCCCTTTACCTTCTTGTCTTGGATTAGACATAACTTCATGAAGTTCCTGACTTCATCTGGTGCTTTGCAGTAGACTTGTTTTGACCCACTGTGACAGAACAGTCATAAAAAAAAAAAGACCAGATACTTCTGAATTGTGTAACAATTTATTACGAAAATATTGTAAAAATACTTATGTCTGATTCCTGAACCTTCAAAATAAACATCCCAGACAATGTTTTCTTAAAGTATTTCAAAGAAAATAAGGGGAAAAAAAAGTGCATCATAGCATACTTATATGCTTACTTCATACACTTTCTTAGTGCATATGTTTAAGAACAGGTAAACTCTCAGACGTAAGGCATACTATTTTAAAGATCTTGTTGAATATCATTCAGTGCATTTGTAAGTCGTCTTATTTTATTTTCCATGGCTATTTTGTTGTTTGCCATTTCCTGTAGAAGCTGACGCATTTCTTCTTCAACATGGTACACCTGAAACAGCATATAGAGAAAAAATATAATTCTTGCTTTTCCTTATTATACCAAACAGTATTTTGATATTTTTTAACATTGATAAAAAGGTTGGAATTATGTACTTATATTAGCAAAGAACTCATGTTATAACTTTGTATTATAGCACACAGTTTTGACTAAAGCTGTCATCAGAAGTAAAAGTATTTCCTTGAAGAATTGCATGGAACTACCACAAATCCAGACAGGGTAGGCTAAACAATTTCTGAGTTACAAAAAGAAAAGTCCATGATATATGGCATCAGATGTCTAAATAAGTGACATGCTACCTTTGCCAGTATGTGCAGTAGAAAAGTTTGGCTTTAAAGTTTGGTTCCATCTCATTTGCTAGGAGATGGCCAGTTTTCAGACGTAAAGCATCTGCCATGTACAATAAGTGCTAGTTAACACACCATAAAAAAGAAAGAATAGAAAAAAATAGAACAGACCACATCAGGAAACTACTAAAATGAACAGTAGCTTTTTAATCTGATATAATCTGCTATATCACCAGTGCTCTTTCCTCCATAATGTTTAGGTATTGAGCATTGGGATCTACAGGGCATGCCAAGCTTCCTTCAGCAGAGGACCTCTAACATGACTCTAACATTCCAGAGATTCACCATCTGCACCAGGAAAGCTCTACCCTGGGGGCTGTGTCCACAAAGAGATCAGCTATACAGATAAGAACAGGCAACCTGATGTACCACTGCTGGGGTAGCTGTATGATAAAAATAAAAAGACACATAATAATTTAGTTTTAAAATTACTTTTTCATTTGCTTCTTCAATTTGCCTTTCTTTTTCATTTGCCAGCTGCAACAGTTCTGCCTGATGAGCTGCTATTGCTGACTCAAGTTGCTTTCTAAAAGCATCATCCATTGCATGAAGCTTCTCCACCGCAACTCTAAAAATAAATAAGTAAATAAATAAAAAACAAAAAACAACACAAAAAAGCTTCACCAGGCAAACAAAAAAGCATTAGGCTTTGCCCAATTCTTCCTTTGATGATGCTTCTAATAACATGGGCACAAAGAAATAACATTGGCACCAAGACAATTATTTTAGTATCTACCTTCGAAAGATTTTCTCTTTGCTCAAAAAACACATTCTTGTTTTAGGCATCACAACTAGGGCTCGGGTACTCCTAGCTGAAGATTTAATCACTAGCAAACAATAAAAGGATTCCAGCTTGCTGTCAACATGGATAAGTCATCCACGTGCTTTCGAACATTTACTTACCATGGAGGACAGTGCTGCTTCCTGAGAAGGGGAGGCCTAGACTATACAATCCTGTAAATCACCTGGAGGCTTTTGTTTCACAAAAACAGAAAAAGCATCTGCTTGGTAGAAGTGGAGAGAGAAACCTGGTTCTATTATGCTCACCCTTACAGGATGTTGTTTCCTTGGTTCCAAACAAAGTCTGCTTTGGACAGGGGGAATTCAAAAATATGCAAGAACAAAACCCAAGGATACTTATTCCACTGTGCTACTAATTTACAGCAAAATTTTGAAACAAAACAATTTTGTGACAAAATTTCAGTTTCACTACTGAAACTAAGTATTCCCAAATCTAGTACTATCAATAATTCGAGTTCTTCAAATCGAATGTCACCTCACCACCTATCTTCCTCACTTCTTAATCAGATGACAATTTTATTTCACCTTTCTTAAAATAATAGTGAAAGCGTGGTTTAAAAAGTCCTTGTTTCCCTTAAAAAGATAAAGCAACAATCCTTAGTAATACAAGGTCATTCCTTCAGTTACAATAGGGTTCATGCTGCGTATTTATACAGTCTGAAAAGAGTTCCTTTCTTAAGGATGGAAAAAGAAAAAAAATGAGAGAAAGGGGCATGAGAAAAGAATGATAGGTAATTTATATTTCAATTTCTCTTAAATAGCCCATCAATTTATTCAAAATTGAAACATATGCACACATATCCTCATTTAATCCTACCACTATAGCCAATTGCTGTTTCCCTTGATTCTCTCATGGTATAATCAAACTTTTTGCATACATATTAAAATTGAAACTCTATAATAACTGAAGAGATATTCATGTTAAGATATTTACTTCTGAGCTTGAAGACTTTTATTTCTCTCATCAATCAACTTCTTCTCTTTGGCATCAAAGCTCTCCTTCATTTGTTTAACTTGTACCTCCAGCTCTCTAAGTAGTTCTCCTTTACCTTGCCACTTCTTTTTCAGTGCACTGAAAATAAAATGGACACATTTACAGTTAATATAGATCTTACCACTCCTAAGGAGTGCAGAAAAAAAAAATCCTTGTTTCCATTTTTCTACATTTATGTGTATTTTACTAACAAGCAGGTTCTTTTTCAACTGGAATTTCACAGGAGAAACAGTTCATACTGTCAGCAGTAGCTTTTTAGAATTATACATCACCTGTGTGCTTCCTTAATATCATCAAGTTCTATTTCTTTTTCTTCTAGCAGCTGCTTTAATTCCTCTTTTCTTTCATTTTGCCTTTCCAGTTTTTCCATTAGTTCTTCAGATTCAGCAGCTTTTTCATCCAACTGCATCTGAAAAATCTTTTGAGCTTCAGTATTCTCTTCATGTTGTCTCCTAATATGTTGATCTTTTTCTTTTAAACCCTTTAGAAGACAAATGCTTTAGAACACACAAAATAATAAACTTTGTTACCTGCTAAGCATATCCACTTACTCTATCTAGAATAAATCAGAGACTGATATGTGAAAATTTGCTCTTACAAACATTAATATGTCTGAATAATGATATCATGTTATGGTATTTGAATTTTAATACATTTGTTTCTACATACATTAATTGCAGAGTCACATTCTGTGACCCTTAAGAATATACTTATCTAGTTTAACAAATAATGTACCCAATCTCGACTGGGTTAGCATACCTTAAAACTTTATTCTGATTAATGAGCTAGAGACTTGAGGCTGTAAATGAGATGAACAGAATAAATGGAAAAAACAGCTGCTCCACTGTTTTAATACCAAATTACAAAAACAAAAGAGAAAAAAAAAAAATCACACTGTAAAGTAAACATGAAGCTAACTTGAATTTAGTTGCTTTTTTACATACACATACATAGAACATACACTGAAAACTGCTTTCCTGCTTTTCATCTTCCAAAATCCTCATCAGGAATGGGTTGTTTGGAAGTGATGCAAAGAGAAGCATAAATATGCTTCAACTAGAGTTTCAGAGTGATGCCCCTGACACTCCAGCAAGGTAATAAAAGGTCCTCTGCCAGTCTTGGAGGATTCAGTTGCCTCCGAGAGCCTCTTTACGCTTTCTGAATTGGTAAAACTAGGAGTGTGGAGCCAGCTCTTATCAGAGCCTAGAGCATAACTTTGTAAGTCTCATTTTATATAAGCACAGTAACTATCAAACACCTGACTTACTTCTTTTAATTTCCTAATTGTTTCTGTCTGATCATCCACTATTTTGGTTTTAATTCGCAGAGCATCACTGTCCTGTTCCTTTTGCTTTTTTAAAGTCTCAATCTCATTTGTTAAAACCTCAATTTTTGCCTCCAGTTTTCCCCGATCTTGAGCAAGATGAGCTCCTGGATAAAACGGGATATTCACATTAAAGCACTTCAATATACGTAATTTCAAGAAAATAAATAAAATCAGACACAATAATTTGGCTCACAAGAAGCACTGAAGGGTTTCAACCTGTACATAGGCAATATCTGGGAGGAAATACAGAATTAAGTATGGTGTTTTATCCTTTGAAGACTTATTTGACATAAACCATAGTGCTTACAGACTCAAGCCACCTTAAAGAATCCACAATATGGAGCCAATTCTATATTACAATTCATATTGACTACAGTGGAAGGGGACATAGTTATTTTAAGAGGTCTACTGAAATCATAGATTTTACACTAAACTGTAAAGCTACACAACTAGTAGCTATCACTTAAGTATATTCTTAAGTGACCATAAGCTATCACAAAGCTATTTATGAAAAGATATTTCAGAAGTTTTACATTTAGAAGTGCTTCATATAACACATAGTGGAACTTGGGGTAAAAAGAACTACTGAACCCAAATTCTAAGTGGAAAACAAACTGCATTTTTATACATATATGCAATTTATACCCAGGTTTCACTTCTTGTATTTTCAGCATCCCTTAAGATTATCAGTTTAAAGTGACAGTATTTTTATTTTGTCCTCTGCATAGGGCTAACTCCTCAAATATTTTTAGAGTTGGCCTGTGTTCTACAGTAAATGTAAAGAGGACTCACAAAAATACAACTGGACTACATCAACAAAGCATCGAGGGACCTTGTGATCATTAAACCTATCCCGGAATGCTCACTGGAAAAGGGATGACAATAAGCGCTAGTATTTTTTACCCCAACACACAATTTTATATTTTACCTTGTTGTGCCAGCTCCTGTCCCCATATTTTTCTTTCCATTTTTAATCCATCAATCAGAGATTCCTGGGCTGTCAGCTGAGAAGTAAGTTTTGCATTTTCCTTCTTTAGGAGTTCAATTTGAACAGCCTTCTGCTTGTCCTCCTCAGCCACAGTTTCAAGTTCTCCAGTTCGACACTGC